GAAAAGTTTTTTCTTTTCATTTAGTTATATTTGAAATTGAGGCCACGGGCTATTTTTGAGAAAATACAGTTCAAACAAAGTCAAGCTATTTTTACATATTTTCAAAATTTGTCAAATTTCGCGAGCTTGTATTTTGAACTTAGACAGCTGAAGTTACATTAAGAAACATAGAAGGGAAAATTTGAGGCATATAAAGTTAATTTCAACTTATATTTCATTCTCAAATCACGTCTTTCTTCGTTTATTACGGTTTTAAACAAGCCATAGGTCGACGTATACGGTATTTACTCCCATGTTCACGTCGCCATATTAACTTCTTCCAATCACGCGATTACAAAACAATCATCCCAAAACAAAGAATTCATGATCGACTTTTAAAAGAATAACCAATAATTTGTAAATCGTTGAATGGAAAGCAAAAAATCGTCAGCTAAAACAGCTTCTTGCTAACTTTCTGCTTTGTTTTGAATGTAAATGCAATGAGCTTTGTTTCTGCCCGCAATTTTTTGGTCAGCGACGACAAATTTCCCACCTGTTATATATCAGCCGTTCCGCACGTTGTAACCAATAATTTATTGGCGTTGTAATGCCATTGTATGCAATAAAGTATTGGTTACAATGGATTTACAATTAATCCAAACGCTAATCCTAACTCAAACCCTAACCCTAACCCTAATCCTAACCCCTAACCCTAACCCCACCTCCTAACCCTAACCCCACCTCCTAACCCCTAACCCCACCTCCTAACCCCGCAACCTAACCGCAAACCCTAAACCCGGCCTGCTACCCCTCCGGGGAAATGCCCTACCGCTTCCCCTCCGTCCACCAAGCAAAGCCAGTTACACTTATAACTAAAACTTTTGTGCAGTGGTTGTGGTTTTGTTTTCAGTTACAACCCAATACTTTATTGCATACAATGGCATTACAACGCCAATAAACTATTGGTTACAACGTGCGGAACGGGTGCATATATTGGCCTATATTGGTAGGTGACATCATATATTCATATGATACAGGACGCCAAGTAGTCAAGTATTAATACAGTACAAAACCGCATAAGAGAATCGCTATTTTTATGTCACGCTGAAGTGGTTTTTATATAATGATTAATGGGTACCTTATTCTTATCGGTAATGGTTTAGTGTCAGTTACATTCATGTCTCCTCAATTAATAAGCAGTTGACAGTAATTAATTAGACTAATATATTTAATCCTAATTTGATAAAACATATCCTCATTCAATACTAAACAGTTTATACAGAGCATATTTTTGCATTTTGTGATAGTGTTAAATTATATGACTTGCGTATATCTACACCAGGTTCTTGTGCTCAATAACTTTACTGTTTTCATAATGGCCTCGTTTCCATGTTGCCTGTTTTAGCATGATAAGCGCACATAGAATTCGTGCACGCCAATATCTTTCTATTTGCCTTGAGCCTAATCACAAACTTATCCTTAACCCTATTGTGGACATGAGGAATACCACATGAGGAATAACCACATTAAAACGAAACCATTGGAGAAACAGTGCATATAATCTTGAACTGTCTAAGGGCCTGTTCATATGATCCCACTTACCGGGACGTCTCGCTTACCGAGACGAATATTTCCGTGCGTTCATATGGAGTATTTCGTCCCGCTTGCCGAGATGAAATTACATTGTAGTTCTATAATTAGCGTATGCAAAACTTCTACATTTCAGTCAAGCAACACAAATGCTTGGCGATTTTAGTGTTTTTCTTCGTTTATTTACAAGAAAAAGTATTGCTTCAGGTGGTTATTTAATACTTGCTTACAAAACAAACATAAAACCAAGTAAAAAGTGTTAAATTAAACCGGCAAGACTTGTTTCACTTCATCCCGGTAAGCGGGCTGGCGTGTTGATATGGAAAAATTTTCATCCCGCCTATACCTATGATCTCGGCAAATTCAAACGAGATCTCGGCAAGCGGGCCAGCTCGCTTTCTCATATGAACACAATGCAAAATTTTATAGGAAAATAGATAGGCGGCGAGATCATCGGTAAGCGAGACGTCCCGGTAAGCGGCAGTGGCGGCGCCAGGCTTCCAAATTTGGGGGGGCATTTGAGGGGCAAACTGAAATTTGGGGGGGCAAAATAGAATTTTTAAAAAGGTCGCCCCCCAGGAAATTCGCCCCCCCCCCCTCAAAACGTGGCGATATTCCTAGGAATATTGCCCCCGGGGGCGAATATCCTAGGAATATCGCCTTCCAGGGGGTGGGGCGAATACCCTAGGAATATCGCCCCTTTTTAGGACATTCGCCCCCCATATATGCGATGTGGTTTATTCAAATAATTTCGTGATACTTTCATCTTATTATTGCCTTACACGTTTGAGAATTTAACTCTGCAAAACTAAAGCTTTTTTGTCTTTTTTTGAAACGTATTATTGGAGTATTGGCAAGTTTTACCATTCAGAGATTTACAAACTAATATTGAAACTGTAAAAAACAGTTTCATGTATACGCGCATTCACTAATGAGTAATGACAACTTATAAGCCATACATTTTCCGATAACGACAGAACGCTTGTGTAGCCTTTAGTCGCTCTTAGTGATTAATAATTTTTTTGAGGGGGGACAAAATGGGGGGACAAAAAATAATTTGGGGGGGGCATTTGCCCCCCCTTGCCCCCCCCTGGCGCCGCCACTGGTAAGCGGGATCATATGAACAGGCCCTAACAAGCTTTCGTTGATAGGGATGCAACTACCCGAAAAAATATAAGGAGAATTTCGACATTTAGAAGGGCCTTCTCTCGAAACGTCGAAATTCTCCTTATATTTTTCAGGTAGTTGCATCCTTACCAATGAAAGCTCGTTCCAAAAGCAGTACAGTCTATTTATTGCCAACATTTCAGGCAGCTGGTTTAATCCAATCACCATCTACTTGCGATTGTTAATGTGAAACCATTAATTTTTAATTAAATGACTAATTTTTTAAATACTTCTCATCTGTAGATAAAACGTTTAAGAAACATTAATCAGTACCTGTCAAATGAAATTTGCAGTGACTGGTGTTTTGAAATATGATTATAGGAAATTTTTTGTAGTCTGTAATTCTACCTGTCCTGCTTTGAGCATGTTTAAACTAAGATCTATAGCACCTGACTGAATTGAAGGAAAACAGTGTAAGCTATCTCGGAAAAATACTCTGTTTGTTTGAATTGTTTCGTAAACATCACATGAACTGGCCACGAAACAATAGTTTTGAAATTCTTCCTGGAACGAAACCAAACAAATATTTGGTTGCGGAAACGCGTGACCGTCATGAGGCATTTACGAGCAGTGACCCAGTGTCATCGTCAAGCGCAGGCTTAAAAATTCCCCATCTCTTAAGTGTTGTGTAGAAAAGGGAAGTCTGTGATATTGACTTTCAGAAGTATAGAATCAAAATACTTCCCTGTGGCTGAGGAATGGATTCTACGAGTAGAAATCGCGCACGCTATACCATAAACTTGCATTACCGGCTGCATGCAATATCATCAGTATTTATTAAAACGCTTTTGACTTTTTTATGTACTATTTACAACATGAGCGGCCGTGTTGTATCGGATATACAAACTCGAGCCGAAGGCGAGAGTTTGCATATCCGATACAAGTTCATACAACACGGCCGCTCATGTTGTAAATAGTACTTAAAAAACGACTCATCTTATGAGTTCATTGGCGAAGTAATTTTAAAAATAAACGTTGTCTAAGCCGAGAAAATCAAAGTTAAAGTTTATATAAATCAACATGAATCTGTATCACATATACAGATACGACAGGCTTATGATATTTCTTTGTGTTTTCTTCATGAATTATTAATGAGTTTTTTAAATTTAGATACAGGCACTCGAAAAAGGTTTCGTTTGAATTTAGCGCATTAGTGAATAAAATCTTGTTGAGTTAAGCTACAAGTAAATAAACATTTGTTTTCGTCCGAGGCCCGAAGACATGAAATTCGAAATGAAAAGTGAGTCTATTAATTAAAAGTTGACAAAGAAAAATTCTGCTCGGCGCGCAAAAAATTCCGCGTGATATCCTTTCGCACTCAAGTGCAAGTACCAGGAACACCTCAACGCGAGTCATCAACTATATTCGACTTGCAAGTCAAATTCGATAAACATATTTTGACAAAAACAAAGATCAGTTTTCGCTGTGTCAGGTATATTTTGAAGCGTTGTTTATCTTGCTATTAACCTGTCCAAACAAGTAATTTTACAACCGGAACCTGTGTGGTTCTTGGTACATGATTGCACGCACTTTTCTTGGTAGCGCTCACGTGGTGCTCATGTGATTGCGCAATGGGCGTATTTCCGCAATAAGAGCATATATAAACCCTGTTGAGAGTTGAGACAGACTATATGTTGGTTTGGGTTTTGTGTTGGAAGTTGAAGTATTATTTGAAAGGTAAGCTTTTGTATTTTACTGTTTGGTACTGTGGTTATATGATATATTGATTCAGGTATAGATCTCATTAAGCCAGTATCGTGCAACAGATGATGGTCAACCTGCAGTTCTCAGAGTGAGAAAATGTTCATTCTTTTATTGTATATAGTATTCTTGTACTTGGTGGTAAATAAATAGAATCGAGAAATGTAGTTTACTTGCTCTTTTAAGTGTCAACATTACTGAAGTTAGCCATGTTTGGCTTCACTCTTTGCATGGACTCGAGTTGTCGCTCCAGAAACATATGGAGCTCACTGCTCCAGACTTTGATCGGAGCGTTCCAGCTACATGATAGTGTTGGGAAAGCATTAAGCTACGTTTACACGCTTCGATTTGTCGGGCCGATTTTGGTAAATAATCGATGCCCCTTCTTCGACATTTAGCGATTTAAACGTTCAATTGAGGCTGTCCGCTCTCTCGTCTGTTCATGTTATAGTTATCTGCGTGCGAAAAGTTTTCAACAACTTTACAACGGAAGAAAAATCGTTGAATCGTGAGAAAAATCTGTGGTTTTGTTACAGTTTTTCTCCCGATTTTGTGAATCGCAAGGTGCTGACGCGAGTACTGACGACAGGTTATTTACATACAGCGAGCAAAATCGGCCCGACAAATCGCAGCGTGTAAACGTACCTTAAGACTGACAGCTAACCAAAGGCGCATGACTGTCAACTCTCATCCTCGTTTCATCCGCGCTCAATGTTTCTCAGAAGGCTTTGGATTTTTCTTATTATTTGCATTAGCTACCAACACTGGCACAGACAGTTTCCCAAGATCAATGTTTTTTTCTACAATTTATAGATAAAATTCAGTTGTGGAATTATCATGAAGACTTTTGCTATTGTTGTTTTGGCTTTCATTGTTGCTTTTGGCAACTGCGCAGATCCTACAGAGGAAAACGAAGTAAATCGTAAGTAATATCAGGTCGATTTCTATAACTACAATCATCTTCAAATGTATTTTTTTCTGTCTTGGTGTACAATGTACTAGGTGAATATATGATCCTTGTGATGTTACTCTGAGTGTAGATCCACACCGGGCAAGATCAGTTGGCAGAGCATTGGGCTAGTATTCCAAAGGTCGTAGTTTCGATTCCCACCGTGGCCAAAGCATCAGATTCAAATGTGTTGGAACAGATGCCCCTATATTATTATGACAAACTTTGATCCCCCCGCCCCCTTTTCTGTGGTCGGGTAAACAACATTGAATGAGAAGGGAGTTATAAATGTTTATAATAATTTGCATATATCCAGTGATGAACTAAAACCACAAATGTCCCAACAACTTTTGAAAATGATTGCTACCTAAATCATAATCCCAACCCTTTTAAAAATACTAATCTCAAACCTAACCATGATCGTAATCTTAACTATATAATCCAGATCTCACAATTTCATCTAATCTTAAACCTGGTTTACACTATCAAAGTTTCTGTGATCACAGTAGGAATTTTGCATGGGCAAATTCTATAAGTTTTGAAGGATTTGTAAGAAATGTTTGAGGAAACTGACTTACTGTTAAACATTAAGCCAGTTTCCTCAAACATTTCTTACAAATCCTTCAAAACTTAAAATTTACCCATGCAAAATTCTGACTGTGATCACAGAAACTTTGATAGTGTAAACCTGCCTTTATAGTGATGTATAGTCTATTTGTCATAATTGCGTTCCATTCGATTTCAACAGGTAAAACGTTCTGCGATTGGCCTGATTGCACATGTTATTACTACAAGGATCCTTGCCCACAAGGATACTGGGATTGCCCTTCAACGAAATATTGTACTCTGCGAACCAACAAACCTTGCTGCCACAATTAACACAGAAACAGAAGCTTAATGGACAATTAATTAATATCAACGTTGGGCCTTCATGGAACAGTATAATTAGATTTGGTGTTATAGAACTATTGCGTAAAAATGCATGGTGCTTTTGCATAAGATATAATAATTGTAATGATTTTTGAATCGGTTTGCTTGCTAATAAATGTAGTCTTGTACGCTGTGTTTTATCGTGTATTGCATTCGTGTTGCTTGTTTGACAAAATTTTAACAAATTGTTGAAAAATTACAATGCTAAATTGATGAGCTATAGATTGGTTCCCGTAAAATACTGTAGTCTTGACCAAGGGTGGGTTGACTACAAAATTTTTGTAGTTCGCTATAACTACAGCTACTTCAAAAATATGTAGTCGGCTACAACTACTGCTACTTTTGAACAAACTTTAAGGTAGTTCGCTACTGACTACAGCTACTGCTTAAAAAATGTAGCGAACTATTTCGCTATTTCGCTACGCTATATTTCTTAGTTTTACTGTATTTGGAGCATCTATACTAACTCAGACTGTAATGTAACCTATAACAAATCGACTTACGAGTAGCAACAGTAAACACAAAGCAACATTTTTGTAATCACTACAGTGTTCAGGAGTGCAAATTGACTATTGAGTATCGATTTTAAGCAAACCGTGTCTCAATATCATGCTAGTTGTTAATAATTTTTAAAAGTAGCGAATAGCGATTTGCTGTTTGAAAAGTAGTCAACTACATGGCTATACTTTTAGGCAAAATGTAGTTCGCTATAACTACAGCTACTGTTTTAAAAATGTAGTCAAAAACTACTGGCTACTTGAAAATTGTAGTTCGCTACAGTAGCGAACTACAACTACTTCGCTACTACCCACTCTTGACATCCTTTTGCACTTAGCCTAAGTACCTGGAACACTTCAGCGCGAGTCATCGATTATATTCGAATTGCAAGTCAAATTTGATAAATATTTTTTGACAAAAACAAGGATCAGTTTTCGCTGCATCAGGTATATTTTGGAGCGCTGTTTATCTTCAGGCTATTAACCCTGGTAGCGCTCACGTGGTGGCGCTCATGTGATTGCGCAATGGCCTTATTTCCGCAATAAAAGCATACATAAACCCGGTTGAGAGTTGAGACAGACTATATATTAGTTTTGTGTTGCGCAAGTTGAAGTATTATTTTAAAGGTAAGCTTTTGTATTTTACTGTTTGGTACTGTAGTTATTATATATTGATTCAGGTGGAGATATATCACAAAGCACTATCGTGCAGAAGTGGCGCTCAACCTTCAGTTCTCAGAGTGAGAAAATAATGTTCATTTCTCTTATTACATGTAGTAGTCTTGTACTTGGTGGTAAACAAATAGAATCGAGAAATGTAGTTTACTCGCTTTTTAAGTGGCAACAGTATTAAAGTTAGCCATGTTTGGCTTCACTTTCTGGACTCGAGTTCTCGCTCCAGAAATATATATGGAGCTCACTGCTCCAGACTTTGATGAGCGTTCCAGCCATCTATGGTTCCAGCTACATGACAGTGTTGGAAACGCATTAAGAACAGAGGTCACGTGACTGCCAACTCTCATGCACTCTCATCCTCCACTCGTTTGAGTCGTTTCATCGGGGCCCAATGTTTCTCGGAAGGCTTTGGATTTTTCTTATTATTTGCATTAGCTACCTACACTGGCCCGCACAGACAGTTTCCCAAGATTAAAACAATATGTTTTTTCTACAATTTATAGATAAAATTCAGTTGTGGAATTATCATGAAGACTTTTGCTATTGTTGTTTTGGCTTTGATTGTTGCTTTTGGCAACTGCGCAGATCCTACAAAGGAAAACGACGTAAATCGTAAGTAATATCAGGTCAATTTCTATAACTACAATCATCTTCAAATGTATTTTTTCTGTCTTGGTGTACAATGTACTAGGTGAATATATGATCCTTGTGATGTTACTCTGAGTGTAGATCCACACCGGGCAAGCTCAGTTGCCAGAGCATTGGGCTAGTATTCCAAAGGTCGTAGTTTCGATTCCCACCGTGGCCAATTAAAGCATCAGATTCAAATGTGTTGGAACAGATGCCCCTATATTATTATGACAAACTTTGATCCCCCGCCCTCTTTTCTGTGATCGGGTAAACAACATTGAATGAGAAGGGAGTTATAAATGTTTATAATAATTTGCATATATCCAGTGATGAACTAAAACCACAAGTGTCCCAACAACTTTTGAAAATGATTGTTACCTAAATCATAATCCCAACCCTTAATACTAATCTCAAACCTAACCATAATCGTAATCTTAACTATAATCCAGCCCGAACCTTTTCATCTGATCTTAAACCTGGTTTATACTGTCAACTGAATGTCTGTGATCACAGTAGGAATTTTGCATGGGTAAATTCTATGACTATGTTTCGAAGGATTTGTAAGAAATGTTTGAGAGAACTGACTAAGTTTTAACACTGCGACTGAATCAGTTCCCTCAAACATTCATTAATTACAAATTCTTCAAAACGTAGAATTTCCCTGTGCACAATTCCTACTGTGATCACAGGAACTTTGATATATAGTGTTAACCAGCCTTCAGTAATGTATAGTCTATTTGTCATATAATTGCGTTCCATCTATTTGATATTTTCAACAGGTAAAACGCTCTGCGATTATCCTGGCTGCACATGCTACTACTACAAGGATCCTTGCCCTGAAGGATACTATGATTGCAGTTCAACGAGATATTGTACTCTGTCAACCGAAAAACCATGCTGCTACTCAGTGATAAACAATATATAATTAATATCAACGTTGGGCCTTCATGGAACAGTATAATTAGATTTGGTGTTATAGAACTATTGCGTAAAAATGCATGGGGTTTTTCCATGATATAATAATTGTAATGATTTTTGAATCGGTTTGCTTGCTAATAAATGTAGTCTTGTACGCTGTGTTTTATCGTGTATTGCATTCGTGTTGCTTGTTTGACAAATTTTTAACAAATTGTTGAAAAATTACAATGCTAAATTGATTAGCTATAGATTAGAAGACTCCAACGAAATTTTCAAGAGGACAAGTGGATACTTGTTTGTGTTAGTCTATAGCTCATTTGTCTGTGTGTATACGAAGACTACAGAAATTCTATATTTAACAAAATTCCAATGATGTCTTGCGGATACTTGTTTAATCTGTGTAGTATTAACTACATTTTTATATGTTATATTAACACGGAATCCCAACTCGGTGTCTGTTGGAAAACGTTGTGAAATTCGTTATTCAACTGCCAACAGTGGCGAAAATATTTGGGTGAGGGAGGAGGAGGGGGCTAGGTTGCCAATATATGATCAGTTTGATCACTTTCTGTAGCTTTAATATATAGCTTAATTTTGACCAATGCTTTCGTTGTTAAAAAACTGTTGTTAAAACTTTGATACACAGTTATTCAAAGGCAAAGGCAGGGCCTTTTTTAACATTTAATGCCCCCCACGAAATCACATTTTGCCCCCCCCCCCAGGAAAAGTCCCTTTTTCCTAAAATTATACAAACAAACCAGCAAAGAATAACAATTTAAATTGTTACGTTTTTCTACCACTAAGTAATGATAAATTATTGTTTTAAAATATTTTTTATATTTTTTCGATGCTCAGAATGCAGGGTATTATGCACCCCACACACGTGACCTTCGGCCATTGGTATCCCCCTCTAATAAGTAATGATAAATTACGGTTAGTTACTTTTTGTGCACTTTTTGCTTCTTTTATTTCAAATACAAATATAGTTAGCATAAATTTTGGAGCAAATTTGGATGCTCAGAATGCAGGAAATGGCATTTCCGTGCTTCAAATTTCAAAAATGTTCTGTGGGAGTACACCCCCAGAACCCCATTCATGCGTGATATGTTGGCTACACACATGACCTTCAGCCATTGCTATCCTCCTCTAATATATATCCCACAAAAAGTTCCCTTTTCAAAAAATGCCCCCCCCCCCACGGGAAAATCCTTAAAAAAGGCCCTGGGCAAAGGGTTGCCCCCCCCCCCCCACCCACTTGCTCTTGCTGCCCCCTCCCTAGTATCCGCCAATAATTGTCAATATATACATGTATACCTAATTCTCAGTAAGTCCAATGAAGTCTAACAACTAGATTTTGTCTTATTCAGGACATGGAATTCAGAAAACCGAAAACTTGTCATGGAAAATTTGTTGTATGTACACATCTGAAAACCTATCATGGAAAACGTTCTCATCGGTAACTGGTTTCATGGTCGGTCTCATTTTTGGACCACACACACGCACAGCGTGGAAATTTCTTCCGCCAGTGCGGAAGAAATTGTTACGGGTTTTTGAATATAAAAAGAAACTGAGGGATTAAGTATATAATTAGAGTGGGATTATAATTTGCTAAATTAAAATGAATCCTTTCCGATGTGATAGGCCTATAGCCTTTTCTAATTGCTGTAACTGGGTGTGCAAATGCCCCCTACTTCTCTCAGGAATCGGACTTGCTTTGCATTCATACTAATTCTGCCTCTGGAAATGTAGCCTCAACCATTGGTTTCAACCACGTGAAGAACAGAAATTAGTAAAATTCAATGTTACGTCCGCTACCTCTACGGATATACAGCTAATTCAAAAAAGGTTGTCCTTTGTAAATCTTAAACTCCAAACCTTAAACCTTAAACTCTAAGCTCAAAAAGCTTAATGGGAGCACAAGTTTGAAGCATTCGCAGTTGAATATTGCAGCTATTTGTAAAGGAATTGTTCTCGCAAGAAGATATTACCACGTCTCTAAGAAAAGCGCCCCATATATGATTTCTAAACTGATTAAATAATGCTTCCATTATGCTTTGTACGCCTAGAGTTAATTTAAGGTTAAGGCTTACAAAGGACAACATTTTATCTTATATACACTAGATAGTGCACCGAATTATTCTGCAATTCAAAAATTGATCATGAAGCCGTGATTGCAGACTCAGGATATTCCCATGAAATGAGAAGACTCGTATGTTTTCTATTTCTTAAACAGAGAACTTAAACATTAAGTTAAACCTATTCCAAATACAATTTCAAACTGTTCAAATATGAAAGTTATTGTTGTTTTTTAAGCGTTTATTAGCGAGTGGGAAACTTCAACATGGCCGCCATCTATTCAAATGGGTGTAACCGCTGGAATATTCTTGGCTTCAATTTTACTGAAAGAGATGCGCTATCTATAGTATATAAGACATCTATGCATTTTATGAGTTAGCTGTATCAAAGGCGTCTGATTGCATCTGATCATCTATAGGGTGTCCAAAAAAACCCCAAAACTATTGAAATGTCGTATTGTTAGAAATTGAATGCTCTAGCACTAAGCTGAACCAATTAAGAAATTAAAATATCTTTGTAAAGCGCACGATTCAGTTAAGCCTGGTTCACATTGATCGTAAACATCGCCGATGCCCATTGTCGGTGGTCATTGATGCATAAAATGTTTTGTGCATTTTCTTCTAGAACATCGCCGATTAATGTGAACCAGGCTTTATGCTCTTGGGAATTTAAATCAGCTACTTAAACAGTTTCTATATGCAAAAAATTTACTTATGTCAAATTCTAAAAATACGTTATTTCAATAGTTTTGGTTTTTTGGGACACCCTGTATAATGGTGTACCTCTGGCTCCAAATTTTCAACGTTTCCCCGGTTTGACATCTGGGCTGCCCAACTAAAACATAACAACAATATATCTCGCTGCCTTGGTCACGCCTTTAAAGCCGTACTTTTTAATTCATATTTGGAAGATAATGTAAAAATGTTTTGCCTTTTTTGTTCGCGAGTTAGCTTCATGTATGTCATGTCATGCTGTCAGCATGGCTGACTGGTCATGCTATGTAAATTTTTAATGATTGGCATTGTTCAAACCTTCAGAAATTGTAGATAAAAAACTCCTATTTAGGGGTTGTCTATATGGGAGGCAGCTGAGCCGCTTATAGCGAAACAGCCCGGTAAGCGACTTTCTTTTCCGAAGCGAAATAATGCCAGTTGAATTTACGTGTGCCATTATAGTTTGTTTGAATGAATGAATTTATTGAAATTTTCAAATGGCAGGTTGCTATCAAATGATTGGCAATCTGAAAAACTTGAAATTACATAATACTATATAATTAAAAATACGTAATTTGGAATACAACTATTTAAAAAATATGCTCGATGATATAGAGAATAATACATGGGTGCGCGGAAATACCAGATTTATTTCGAGTGTTGAACATGATATCTCACGAGTGAGCGCAGCGAACGAGTGAGATATCATGTTCAATACGAGAAATAAATCTGATATTTCCAAGCACCCATGTATTTTTCTGTTTATTATATAAACAAAATTCAGTGAAAAACAATAAAACGTCCGTGGCAATGCGTTTTACAACAAATGATATTTTCACACGTAAAAATATCGTATTTTTTACGTGTGTTCAAATACGATTTTTCTCAGTGGCCAAAAACTCTATATAACACTTATGTTTATATAATAAAATACTTTACTATATACTATACTCAGTATCTTCACGCATGTAAGTTTACTAACTACCCAGAGAATCCCACTTTGCAACACAGTACGGAATAAAACTATTTCTAAAACGTTCAGTCCTACATTTAAATAGAGGATATTTCCTTGGATTCCTTAAACTATACTTATGTGTATAATGTTAATTCCTTAAAATATACTTATGTGAAACGTGAATGTTCCAGGACAGATCGCTGCTTAGAGTGATACCCAGGAGTTTGAAACTATCAACAACTTCAAGCGGACTACCGTTTATTGTCAGATGATCAAATTCAGGTTCAGATTGTAAAAAGGATACACGAAATTCTTTGGTTTTCTTGGCATTCAACCGCATATTGTTAGTATTGCTCCAATCACAGATTGTACTAATATCTAGTTGAAGGATAGAATTACAAGCTGGCCGGGAAACCACTTACAAATTGAATTAGTACTCATGTAAACCCAAAATATTTCGAAAAGAGCAGAGAAATTGAATTAAACAAAACGCATTCGACTTTACTGTTTTTGAGACCTGAGATGCTTGGTTTGCAAGCGGTACCGAAAAATGTAACGCCGTTTCTGTTCACGTGATGCCGCCAAACGCTCCGTTTTTACGGCAAATTAAAAGTGAGGTTCTCAAACAATTTCGCTCCAGCGTAGCGTGAACACGACGGCTAATTTGTGAGTTTTTACTTTGCGCCGTTTTCAAACCGCTCCTGCGAGCGAAATCTCAGTGTGTAATAATTTTTATAGTAAAAATTACCGTGTGTTTATATGGACAAAGCGGGCTGGCCCGGTTATGCTTTCATGTCACACAATCATGAAACCTCACCCAATCCCCATCCCTAACGTCCTAACCAATCATATTTCGTCATATTCCGTGAATGCGTGACACGAAAATGGAACCGCTGGCCCGACGTGATCTCGCTTATCAGGGTAAAAATTTCTCCACATAAACACTTAGTACAAGCGGGCTGGTCCTGTTGCCTGGAAGAAAGTTCAAGATTCTGGCCCATGCTATTTTTAAACTGTTTCTGTCAAGACAATGTCAAAACAAACAATGTGAAAACACTGTCCCGGCAGGGGATTTAATTTTTTTTTCATTTCCAAGACTACGGCTACGTTTATAAATTGTATACCGGACGTTTCCGTAGCAACGTGAAAAACACATATCTTTAGAAACGCTATTTTCAGAGGAATTATTGCAACGCAGAGATCACTCAGCTTCTGAAAGTTGTACATTCCGTATCGAATAGCTGCTTTTTCATGCCGCTACGGAAAGCTATATCTGATACTGACTCGTCCCCAGTCGCTTCTGTAACGCGTGCGTTGAATTACCCAACGCGCGCTGATTGATGGGAATGTGAACGCCTCGGGGCATTCCCATGGTCCTTTGCGTTAGAAGCAGTGTTAGGGACTGTGGAAGAGTCAGTATCTGATATAGTGTAAACGTAGCCTAGGTCCACACTGCAACAAGTTGCCTTGCTTAGCGGGTAGCAGTTTAATAAGGCCGATTTAATTTACACTACACGACAACGTAGGGAAGTTGCGTGCTTGATTTACACAGTGCAACTCAAGTTGTATAAGCAGGTCGCATACGGCATGCAATTTTAGGCAAACGTTGTACGTGTAGCATAACATGACGAGTTGCCATAGCTAGCTCATCGTTGCTGCTTTGCCCCTTAAGCTTGGTTTCCATATGGTCGTATAACGGTCGTAAAGATTGAGTCACGATCTTTCTCATCAGCTGAAATACATCATTTTAGAACTGGGAATACGCGCAGTGATTGTAACTAAAGAATACTTATGATTTATATATGTGGTTTACAGGTATTAAGTATTATAAACTGGCCGTTCAGAAAAATCGTAACTCTATTTTTACGACCAGTAACGACCATAAGGAAACCAGGCATTGAGTGAAAAGTCCTTCAAAACGGCACTGAAAATAGGTTAGATTAAAACTTAAAAGTCGATCTAGATTCATAGTAGGTCTCATTTTTTGGACCACACCCACCGACCGCGCAGAAATTTTTTCCGCATTTGCGGAAGAAATTTTACGCGTATTTGAATATAAAAACAAACTAAGGGATTCAAGAGCGGATCAAGTTGTTGCAGTGGGATTATGTAGATTATAATTTGTTAAATTGAAAGCAATCAAGGTCGCAGGTGAGACTATAAAATCTTGGCGAAGATGTCCTGCATTTCAGAACTTCTGAGCTTTACCGGGATCTTATCAAGAGCAACAGTTACAGAATATACTACTTACAGGTATGTTTATCATGCAGCATTGATGTTCGTGTATTGTCGTGCATGAACTAACAGCGCCGGCTCGTTGTCTTGAAACACATAAAAGTCTAGATTTTTCAGCGATCATTGAGAGAAATCATGTGCGTCTCATTGACATACAGGTAAATTAAGATCAGATTTCATACCAAGTCTGTTTACTGCTTGGCGCGTTTACCACATTACATAGAGGCGAGATACTCGACTGCATCATGTAAACGGTAGATTACTATAAGTTTCTATAATAGCCGGGATCTCGCCGTTGCCGAGTAACTCGACTTGCTGGGTAACTCGCGCCTCCATATAAACAGGCCCAACTCTCATGCACTCTTGTTTCATCTCGGATTTTTGCACTACCTATACTGCCCACAGTAGCCTGCTCAATGTTTCCCTCTACAATTTATAGATAAAATTCAGTTGTGGAATTATCATGAAGACTTTTGCTATTGTTGTTTTGGCTTTCATTGTTGCTTTTGGCAACTGCGCAGATCCTTCAAAGGAAAACGACGTCAGAAATCACTTAAATCGTAAGTAATATCAGGTCAATTTCTATAACTACAATCATCTTCAAATGTATTTTTTCACTGTCTTGGTGTACAATGTACTAGGTGAATATATGATACTTGTGATGTTACTCTGAGTGTAGATCCACACCGGGCAAGCTCAGTTGGCAGAGCATTAGGCTAGTATTCCAAAGGTCGTAGTTTCGATTCCCACCGTGGCCAAACCATCATCTTCAAATGTGTTGGACAGATGCCTCTATATTATTATGACAAACTTTGATCCCCCCGCCTCTTTTTCTGTGATTGGATAAACAACATTGAATGAGGATGGAGATATAAATGTTTATAATAATTTGCATATATCCAGTGATGAACTAAAACCACAAGTATCCCAACAACTTTTGAAAATGATTGTTACCTAAATCATAATCCCAACCCTTAATACTAATCTCAAACCTAACCATAATCGTAATCTTAACTATATAATCCAGATCTCACAATTTCATCTAATCTTAAGACTTAAACCTGGTTTACACTATCAAAGTTTCTGTGATCACAGTAGGAATTTTGCATCGGTAAATTCTAAGTTTTGAAGGTTTTGTAAGAAATGTTTGAGGAAACTGACTTACTGTTTAACACTGAATCAGTTTCCTCAAACATTCGTCACAAATTCTTCAAAACGTAGAATTTCCCTATGCAAAATTCCTACTGTGATCACAGAAACTTTGATAGTGTAAACCAGCCTTTATAGTGATGTATAGTCTATTTGTCATAATTGCGTTCCATTCTATTTCAACAGATAAAACGTTCTGCGATTGGCCTGGCTGCACATGCTATTACAACTTGGGTATTTGTCCTCGAGGATACTATCCTTGCAGTTCAACGAGATATTGTGGTCTGCGAACCAACAAACCTTGCTGCTACTGATAAACAACATATAATTAATATCAACGTTGGGCCTTCATGGAACAGTATAATTAGATTTGTGTTATAGAACTATTGCGTAAAAATGCATGGTCATGCTTTTGCTTAAACTGATAATTGTAATGATTTTTGAATCGGTTTGGATGCTAATAAATGTTGTAGTCTTGTACGCTGTGTTTAATCGTGTATTGCATTCGTGTTGCATGTTTGACAAATTTTTAATAAATAGTTGAACTGATTCAGTGTTTGACACTTATATATACTTGGGAAGGTATTTTTAATCATATACAGGACAGAGGAATGTCCATAATTGTTTACAACAACTTCTACGCTCTATATAAATATCACTATATACCAATTTGAGATCTCTCAAAACTATTTGATCACAGCGTTACTTGCCTTCAAGTCATAATAATATCATTTCGAATCTGATTATTCAGTGTAACTATTAACCCGCAATATGAATTTTGGCGTCATATTTCTATCATTCTAAGAAGAAGTGCAATATATCTTGACAGTAAACACCTCATCGGAAGTCGTCCGATATTGTGAATTCATCTAATTCCGGAAACTACACTTATTATAGTGAGAAATTTAATTAAGGTTTTTTAATATAAAGATATATCACACTTTCCTGCCTCCTCCCCAGGCTCTTATGTTTAGCACACACAAGCGGCATATATAAATCAGTAGCATCGATGCTCCCTCCAATCCACACAAAGCGACTGGGGACGAGGCAATCAATTTCTTCCTAGAATATCTCAAATATTACACATACCAAAAAATGGCGCCCTATGATCCAGCTAACATATTTCATGTTGAATCGGGATGTATCCTGCCCACGGTAAAAATGCTAAGACGATAAAATCTCGTATAATTCAATCTATTCTTATATTTGTTTGTTCAGAGTCAATTCATCTCGTTTCGGCTTGCAAAAGTTGCTTTATCACAACTTGCTACAAGGTTAACGAGAAAAAAGCGCTCGCTGCAAGGCTGTTCTAAAAAGTCTGGTCATGTTTCCACTACTTGTTCCCAGCTCGTTACAAGATTCACGCGTCAACAAACTTGTTCCAACAACTGTTGTGTGTTCCCATTTTGGTTTTCAACATTTTGAGATTAATAGCAACATTCAATCGCGTATTAAAAATTTGAAATATAAACCTCTCTTACTTGCGCTGTTGTTTTATAAATATTGTGGTACCTCTAGACCAACGAGAAGTTTGTAGAGAGTGATAGGCATTGTCTTCATTCGTAACTGCAAGGAAGAAAGGAATACATACGATAAGTCAGCTCATAGTATATACACATAAATTTGTGGTTAGAGTTTGACAAGTGTCTCTTTGTAGCTCAGTTGGTTAGAGCGCTGCACAGGAATTGCAGGACCGCAAGATCGATTCCTGGCAGAGGGTCTACAGGGTGTATCAAAATAAACGCAATTCATCTTTTGTGCTTAATACCTTTCGAAATACTATTTCTAGTTAAACGCTTTTAGGCTTACTTCAAAGCCTGTTCTTTTCTCTTTCAAACAAACTATTATCCTTGTCTCCAATGCTAGTAATAATTGCACAGGAAAAGATTTAGTAAAACCTATCATTTTTAGTTGCTGTTTAATTATGCAAGTTTACTATGTTATTGTTTAGTCGGTTTAAATGTTAGAATTTTCTTCTTTAAACTTTAATATTGTCGTCACTACATCTGGAAAACCACGTAAGAACAAATTAAAAGTATTTTAAAAGATACCAGGTTGTTTGAAAATCCTAAACGAATGCTAAAAATCGTCAAAACATTCTGGTGTCTGAGCCAGAGTGTCATCGAATTGCGATGTAATGTAAACAGAAATTATAGCAAGTTGATGTCAGTCAGCTTAGATGGTCCAAGCCAAAATTATATCGCATTTGAAGTTTCAAACTGAGTTAAAAATAGTGGAAGAAAAGCCGTAATTATACTTATTGTTACAACCCATTTAATAAAATGCAACATTTTTTTGTTTTAATGAAAAAATCAGTTATTTTCATGAGAACGATTTGTTATTCCATCTCAGTTTTTTTAATCTCCAATCGCAATAACGTAAAGTATTATTAGCCGCGAACCAATGAGTTAAATTTAAGAAACAACCCACTGTTAGAAAGCTGAATGGCTACGCTTTAAAATGAATGTAAACTTTAACGTTTTCGTCTATTATTTGTTTAGCAATTTACATTTCAGTCGAGGATTGCGCTTTTTTTGATACACCCTGTATATTACAATAAAAATTTGTATTTTTAAAAGGTTCAGTTGCCAAAGGCACAGACGACGATTATGTCCTTCAGTTCAGAGAATAATGCAACCTACATTCAGCCTAAAAATACAGAACCGTCTATTACAGTAGTAATTTAAAGTTTATTATTAAAAAGTTTAACTGCACGAGGCATAAACGATGATTTATGTCTTTAGGTTCTGGAAATAATGTGACCTACATTAGAACCTATTTCTTTAGTTCTGGTGGAATAGTCATGCTTCTGTGCGATAGGGACAAGGTGGTGACAGGGATGGTTTACGTCCTGAGTAATTGCCTCCATTTCTCGAAGTGTTAGCTTATCTCTCCTCTCACTAAGCGGGGGAAGTATATCGACCGGTAAACCAATAATACGTAAGCTTCTCCTTTGAATACGCTCACGGTCGTTCACTAAATATTGAAGTAGGGCGCCCCAAACTTGTGCGGCATACTCAAGCAGTGGACGAATCTTGGTGCAGTAAGTTGCCATTCCTACTTCAGTAGGAAGGTGAGCCTTCCTGCACTGCCTTAGATGACACAGTCTCCTGTTTCCCTTACGAGTAATTTCTTTGATTTGAGAATTCCATTTCATGTTACTTTGACAGCTAACACCAAGTAACTTGAATGAATTAACTCTTTCGATCATAACATCCCCGGTAAAAAGATTGGGAGGCTGTGGGATAGATTTCCCAAAGCAAATCCACTTATCTTTCGTTTTCTTTGCGTTCAACTTCATTCTGTTAGCGTTTGACCAATTCTGAACGGAGTCTAAGACTTTCTGCATGTTGCTACACTCTCCCTTCATGATGCATTCGCTTTGTGTGCAGTCATCGGCATATTTATATGTGCTCACCTCAAGATCTTCAGGAACACTCGTATCTAAGTCGTCAATGTGGATATTAAACAGAGTCAGCGAAAGAGCAGATCCTTGCGGTACTCCAGCTGGGCAACCCTCGATCGATGAAAGTGTTTGATTTATCTTTACCTGCTGAGTTCTACCAGATAAGAAGCTTTTGACCCACAACCAGAAGTTGTTATTAACATTCATCAATGCAAGTATATTCAACAGGATCCCATGATTAACCAGATCAAAGGCTTTTTAAAGTCGATAAAGAGGGCATGGATGCTTGCTTTGTCACGGCAGGTATTGTCAGTAGCATTGAACCATGGCTGTGTGATGGATATCAGAGCCGATGTAGTATAGCGGTCACTAGTAAAACCATGTTGACTGGGACGTAGTATGATGTCATTTTGATTGAGTTGTAGTTGTACTCTCTCTAGGATTTTCCCAATATGTGGCAAAACAGAGATTTGTCTAAAATCGTCACTAACGTCAGTTGGTGGGTATGCTTTAGGTCCAGGTGTGACCAGGCCATGTTTGTAATGACTTGGATACTTACACTGATTAATGCTATAGCCGTAATGATGTCATGAACAATCGGCGCTAGAACGCTAGAGAATCGTTTAAGTAACCGTGCTGGAACACCATCGGCTCCCGTTGCTTTCGAGTGGTTAAGGTGATTTAGGGCGCTCTTAATTTGGTCAATACTAGGTAGAGGGGGAGGATAGTTTTTGAGAAGTGACTCAACTTCATCTAGTTGGGTAATACTTGTTGTAATAAGGTCTTTCCAAGGTTCAGTAAAGGATATTTGAAATTGTTCTGCTAAAGCGACCTCGCTACCCATGGAGTTTACTGTTAGGCCTTCATGCTGACTACTCACTCCGACAGATTATAAATTGCTTTGTACCATTTCGCAGGGCCAGGTGTGCGGAATGTTTTAGCTTTATTTTGATAGTAATTTGATTTGGCTTTCCTAATCATATCTCCTACTTGTGCATTTAGGAGATTATACTGGGACTTGTTGCCACGACTAAAAGCCCGTTGTCTAAGCTTAATCTTTGCTTAAATGTTCGGAGTCATTCAAGGTTTATCCGTGGGATGTAGGCGTATGGATTTCAGAGGCATACATTCGTCTAGAGCTTGACTAATAACTCCATTGAAAATTGAGACTTAGTCATCTACGTCTTCTGCTTCGTGTACTGCATCCCAGACAGTTCTGCTTAGTTTTATTCATCGAGCAAATTGTGTTAGTTATTGGGCGTGTACTCGTCCGATGTTTTGGATTCACAAGGAGGATTGGTGATCCGATCGACCTAAGGGAGGAAGATGTTGCATTTCTTGAAACAGTGGCGACATATTAGTCATTATCTGATTTAAAGTATTGTTTTGGCGAGTTGGTTTCTTAACAATTTTCCTCAAATCAAAACAATTACGTAATGTTCCTAATTTCATTTTGTTAAATTCTCCAGCGATTAGAATTCCAGCAGAGGGATAGCTTTGTAGAATAAAGTCGATTCCATTAATAAGGTAATCAATCATAGTTATCTCATTTATAGCCGCTTGACCTGGGTGATAGTAAACTGCAACCATAACAATGCAACTGAAAGGCCTTGGAAGTCATTGTGGTTTCAACAATAGCCACCGAGCCTCTTTGCCTTCCTCTTCCATGTCAAACAAGCGGCTAGAAGATATTGCAGTTTTAACATAAGTAATTAAACCGCCGCCAGGTGTTCCTCTATCTTTTCGGTACGGAGTATAGTTAGGTCCAATAGATATAACTCCATCGTATATGCTGGGATCTAGCCAGGTCTCAGAAATACATATAAGGTCAGGATCATTAATTTCCGCAACTGAACTGAGCTCATCCATTTTATTCAGAATGTGACAAGCATTAGTTTAAAATAATGAAGGAACAGTCTGTTTATTCGTTTTTATATCGGTAGATATCTTGATACAGTTTGTAGGCTCGTGGGACCTTCTTCTATCAGAACAAAGCGTATTAATGTGGGGAGTGGTGCTCGCGGTTTTAGAAAATAATTGTTGTAGATGAGTAATTCTTGTCGGAATATTAATCGGCATTTTTATCGTTTCATAGTGCGATGGACAAGCTTCAGGTGATTGATCCAGTCCTGCTTGTGACAGCGACTGCGTGTTAAACGTGTCCGTTTTTTCGAATTGAGCTTTAAAAAATAATTATCATTCTTATACGTTTCCGGACAGCTGATATTATTTGGCCGCTGAACTGGTTGCAATTTAGGTTTTCCTTCTATGAGAGGCAACCTCTCCATCCAATCTACTGGGAGATATTTATGCTTAGTATTTTTTGACATAGGTTGTATTGAGGTCTTGATGGCATTCGCCGTCATTCTAGCATCTGTTGTCTTCATGGTAGATGTTTGCGAAATATTTTGCTTAGCAGACTTGAGAGTACAAGATGCCTTGTGCTTTCCCTCTAAGAGAGGTAGTTTTCCTAACCAATTTTCTGGATTATTTTTTGATACCGCAAGAGACATGGTCATGAGGGCCTTCAGGGTTGTTATAGCAGGCACTGGGATATTTTGTAAAGCCGAGTTAGAGTCAGAGACATGAGATTTACCATTATTCAGCATAATATCAGTGTTATTCTCGTGCCTTGTACCCGTAGTCTCATCAATAGGTATTGTTTTTGACGACAGGCTTCGTTGGTTTTCTATTGTGTCATTACATTGGGACGTATCTTGCGTAACTAATGAGTATTTTTGTTGTTTCAGTGAGTCTCTCTCACTTTCGGCCTCTAATAATTTAGTTCAAAGTTCCCTAATAGTATTATCACGATCCATAATTACTTTATTCTTCTCATCAATGATTTTAAACAGCTCATTTACCGTAGCCTCAGTTCTGCGATACCGTAGCCTCAGTTCTGCAAATGATATAGTGGCCAAAACAACAAAAGGTCACGAATCTGAAAATCTTTTACTACAACAAATAAGTGAGAAACAGGGTAATATCCCAGTTGAATCGTGTGTCAACTGTGCCCAAACCAACGAATCTTCGTACCCGGTGACAAAAAACAACAGTGTGACTAAACAAGAGGCCAAACTAACACATCTACATCAAGTCGGCCTTAAACAATTATCAAATAACTCCAAAAACGTCAACGAAGTCATCAACAACAATAGTTTAAGCGGTAAATTAAACCCCGATTCAAATAATAAACAGAATTATGGTCATCCTTCCACTAGTCAGAAAATTACTTACAAATCAGTCAACGGCGAAAACAGAGTCACCACCCCGCGACCACCACCACCGTAGTGGCTGAAATGCTTGCCTTTGTTTGGTACACCGTACAACAAACCAAGTAACAATCCGACCAACAACAGCGTGACCAAACATGAGGCCAAACTAACACACCTACATCAAGATGGCCTTAAACAATTATCAAGCAACTCCAAAAACGTCAACGACGTCATCAACAACAAAGTTCAGAGCGGCAAATCAAACCCCGATATCGTAAATAATAGACAGTATTCTGGTCATCCTTCCACTAGTCAGAAAATTACTCACAGATCCGTCAACGGAGAAAACAGAGTTCCCACCCCGCGACCGGCATCACCGGAGTGGCTGAAATGCTTGCCTTTGTTTGACACACCGTACAACGAATCAAGTAACAATCCGGTTTTTCGCGGAATCTTTGGAAGGCGGAAGACTCGTTGGAGATTTCGCCGGGAGAAATATTCGGACATAGTGAACTAAAGAACGATACTATAACGGAGTGTCTATTTGAATCTTCCGACCACACCATGAGGATGAACATTCCCACAATTGAATCCCAAAGAAAGCTCGGAAAAAACCAACAACCAAATTCTTTTCTACCACCAGAAGTAATTTAATTAATATACCTTTAGAAGTTACGCACTTACCCGCGAGCCAACTGTCGCGTGCTAACGTCAGCAAAGAATTTGTGCCTAGCCTACTTTTATCGAACGTCATCTCTTTAGTTCCCAAAATTGACGAAGTTCGTTTGTGTGTTTCTAAACATAATCCGGATCTTGATTTCATCACAGAAACATGGCTCAAAGAATCTATTGGAGATAATCATGTTGATCTACCGGGTTAGAACATCAAAAGACGAGACCGAAGCTTAGCCCAACACGGAGGCGTATGTTTTTTCTCTAAGGAGTGTATTAAGGTCAATCAACTTCATCAATTTGAAAGTCCTAACCTTGAAGTTTTCTGGACACAAATAAGACCCCCCAGACTCCCAAGAGGAATTCCATGTATTGTAGCTGTTACAGTATACCACCCCCATGTGCTAACGATAATGATATGTTGGAGTATTTGTCAAAATCGTTAACAGACATCGAGGGTCTCTTCCCCGGATGTGGTATTATCATCGTCGGTGACTTCAACCATTTAAACATCAAGAATTTGTCTCGCCAATTTCAAATTAAACAACTAGTGCCTCTGCCTACTCGAGGCACAAACACGCTGGATCTCGTCTTAACAGACCTGCACTCTTTCTATGAATCTAACTCCGCCACATCCCACCCACCTTTTGGCCTTTCTGACCACTTTGTCATAACATTATACCCAAAGCAGAGATAATCCATTTCTACCACCAAGAAGGTAATTTATAAAAGAGACACTCGAACTTCACGAAAGCAAATGCTTGGCAATTTCCTAAATCAAATCGAATGGCACCCCTTAGATCGGCTCACGAGTTGTAGTGAAAAAAACGACCTGTTTACAGGAATCATCTCCACAGGCTTAAATTACATCATGCCTGAAAAAGATTTCAAACGCGTGATTAAACATCGACATCGTGCCTTTTCCTCTGGAAACTCTATCGCTTTCAAGTTTTCCCGGAATAAAGCGAATAAAATGAGGAAATCCTTTTCTTGCTAAGTATTACTCCTCCAAAGTTGAACATCTGAAACAATTGATACCAAAAATTGGTGGCGAGAGGCGAAACGCCTCTGTGGCGTGACTCCAGTTTCAAATATCCCAGCTTTCATTTCCCAGCTCCAATTAGGAAATACAGACCATCTAGATATATCACCACTTGATCTAGCTAATCTAATCAATAACATCTTCCTCGAGCCTATGAAAAACTTCTCTGCCCTCAGCGATACGACCAAAGAAACCCCTTCACAGTCTGATCACTTTCCAACCAACGCATTAACTACACCAGAGTTAATAAATCATAAGCTTAATGTTCTTAATCGTTCCAAAGCACTTGGTCCAGATGGGATTCCAAATTGGATCCTGAAAGAATTTTCAGAAGCTTTATCAAATCCTATCTCCATCATTATCAACTCTTCCTACTTGGAACAAAAATTTCCAAACGCTTGGAAACAAGCTAACTTTATACCCATCCCGAAAAATAAACCAATCCGTAATATAAACAAGAATCTTCGACCTATTTCATTAACTCCAACATTATCTAAGTTGGCCAAAGACATAGTTATTGAAAAATACGTCTCTCATGCAGTTTTGGAGGTGGTCAATCAGGATCAATTTGGGGGTATTCCAAAATCATCAGCAACTTTCGCCCTCATCAGTATTATTCATGCATGTACTCAAGCGACCGACGGAACTGGCAGTTCCGTCCGTCTCCTCTTGTTTGATTACCGCAAAGCCTTTGACTTGATTGATCACAACATCCTGGTTCACAAAATCCGGAAGCTCTCAATTCCTCTACCTTCCTCTTACATCTACACAGCCAGAAATCTCACAGGCCTGTCGCAAGCTGTTGATTTTACCGGCTTGCGGCAAGTTGTCAACAAGTCGCGACAGGTCTGTTGGTTTCGTCAGGCGGTAACAGGCTTGCGGTAACAGGTCTGTCGCAAGCTGTTGACAACAGAGCCGTAGCGACTTGTTGAAACAACCCGCTACAAACCTGTTACTAACAAGAGATAACAGGTCTGATAGAACAACTTGCAGCAAGTCTGTTGAAATTAACAGGTCTGTTCCAACCTGTTCCAACAGACCTGTCGCGAGTTGTTTTTGTCAAGTCTGCAGCAAGCTTGTTATCAGACCTGCGACAAACCTGTCCACAACAAACAATTTTTGTCCTGTCACAACAAGTTTCAACAAGCCTGTTGTAGGGAAACAAATCGAAAATGTGAAAGAGATATAAAATCGCACGAAATGGACACTTCCGGCTTCACTTTCTCATTTAATCATTGTCATTGGTGGCGATATTAAATCACATAGGAGAGATTATAGTCCATAGTATCTATTCTCTGATTATTATAAAATGCAAAAGCCACTGTTTTATTTTTTTTTTAAAAAGTTCCGATTTCCAAAATCCAAATTCCAATTTGCTGACGTGTGCTATCGCTATATTTCTTTAACCTGATTGGATAAACGCGTGTGCACACGTCATCATTCCTCGTTGCAATTGGGCGAAATATTACAAACATATCAATCACGTAATCATGTTTAGTTGTTTTTGAATTTTGAGCCAAACAAAATTTCAACAACTGCCTCAAACAAAATCAAACAAGTTCAAAGCTGTTTTGATTTTTGAAGAAACTGTAGCAATGAGAATACAAGATCTAGAGCTTAAGAAATGAACAATACATGAACAACCGAGTGTTCACTGCAACGTTCGTCATTGCTGATATGAACATGAAATTCGTTATATATAATTTCTTTCCAATTTCAAGTGAAATCCGCGAGCGAGGAAGACGAGGAGGAAGACGCCTTATTGAAGCTTTGTGTTTATGGTATGTACTGTTTTGAAGAAGAATATGCAAGTAGGTTGTCATATTTCGGTCGTACTTCAAGACAAATAATTTTGAAAATTGTTTACGATAAGAACCTTTCTTGAATTTGTCGCATTTTTTCGGCTGTTTTTCTCAAAAATTATCTCGCAAGTTTTGTTTATAAAACTTTATATTCATATATAAAAATCATCTCGCAAGTTTGTTTATAAAACTTTATATTCATATATAAAAATTATCTCGCAAGTTTGTTTATAAAACTTTATATTTCAAACTTCTATTTCACGAAACACTACAACCGAAATATGGCAACCTGTTTGGCCGTTTTTTGTTCAAAATAGTGGATAGAAAGCTTCATAAGGCGCTTTCCTCGGTTTGCAACAGGTCTGTCGCAAGTTGTTGAAAACAGCATTGCTGCAGCTCTGTGTCAGCAGCTTTTGACAGTTCTGTTGAAAACAGCATTGCTGCAGCTCTGTCACAACAGCTTTTAACAGACCTGTTGAAAACAGCATTGCAGCAGCTCTGTTACAACAGCTTGTAACAGACCTGTTGAAAACAGCATTGCAGCAGCTCTGTCACAACAGCTTGTAACAGACCTGTTGACAGGCCGTTGCAGGTCTGTCAGAACAGACAGGTACAAGGCGAGCGAACGCATCCAGATATCGACTTGTTGACAACAGGATTTAACAGATCTGTTGCAGATCTGTTCCGACTTGCGCGTTTCTGGCTGTGTAGGGAACAACGAGTTAAACTCGCCAGGGACTGTCTCTCCGAATGGGGAAAAGTTCCTACCGGAGATCCCCAAGGGGCAAAACTAGGCCCATGGCTCTTTATACTCATGATAAACGATCTGAATTTAACTGATTTCCAAATGTGGAAATATATTAACGATACTACTACTGGTGAAGTAATATCAAAAGACAGTCACAGTACTATTCAAACAGGAGTAAACCAGTTGGAAGACTGGACTGTGCAGAATAAATCCAACATCAAGTTCCAAAATGTAAAGAATTACTGTTTCAGTTTACGACGGTTAGAAACCCTTTTCCCAATGTTGTCCTAAGTTCTGGAATTCTCGAACTAGTTGATCATGCTAAAGTTTTGGAACTGACAATCAGTAACGACTTGAAATGGTCCAAACACGTTCCGAAATGATCAAGAAGGTCAACAAACGAAAATACTTCATTATACAGCTTAAACGCGCAAAAGTGCCCGGCAAAGAAATAATCAACTTTTACTGCACATGTGCAAGGCCTGTACTCGAGTACAGCTGCGAAGTTTTCCATTTTTCCCTGCTTACCCATCTTAGTGACGCCATTGAGCAAGTCCAAAGATGAGTCACCTCAATAATTTTCCAAGGCTTGCCGTGTCCCGAGCGTTTGCAAAAATGCAACCTTATTCCCCTTAGTGATCGGCGACACAAAGCCTGCACAAAACTATTCAATCAACTCATCAACTATCCACATCATAAATTATCATCCCCTTCTGCCAGAACGTTACTCTGCGAACTACGATTTCAGAAAAACTCGAGAGTTTCATCTTCATAAGATAAAAACAGATACATTTTTAAAAACTTTTATACCGGCGTGTATCAAAGAATTTTCTGAGACACTCAATTTTTATATAACCTTTCAACATAAATTTTCATAAATCTATTTATAAATACTTATAGTATATATTTCATTATAATATAGCATTTATAAATTCTGAACGCTGATTGGCTAAGAGCCGTGTTGATATAACTCAATGTCAACACGGGAAATTATCCGCAGCTTGTAAACACGGGAATTTTTCTTATCCTTCGGGCTTTTGAAATTGCTATATCATAAAAAAAAATATAAAACATTTTTTCCGTGATATATAGTTATATCAACACTCGTGGAAGTTGGGAGAACTCGAAATTGTATGAAAATACTCCGCCCATCGGGCGTCGTGTTTCCATATACAATTTCTCGTTTTCCCAATTCCACTCGTGTTGATATAACTGTATATCATTAACCTTTCTTGTAGAATAACACGCAATTC